AAAAGGTAAATCTGACTGGCCAATCAAATTAAACATCAATCAAACGTTCATCGATAATAGAATCTGAAATGATTTTTCTCAAATGCAACTTAAGTGAGATTCTATCTAACTACACATGGCAAGGAGAAGTAAATGTTTCTAAAGAGATTAATCTAGAGGATAAAACTAGTTCTACAGTTCTACAGCCCCCTCACAAAGGAGGGGGCCTTTGTGAGGGAACTATAACCCATGCTATGTGTCGAGCTGTGCACACAGCACGATTCTAATCTAGATGTGGAGACTTTGTTGGACATAAGGAGTCAGTAAACTTTAGCCCATGTTAGTTTAGTTAAGAATCGGATTTTTTAGTATATTTTGATTAAAAATGATAAAATATATTGTTGAAAAGTTAATAAAAATTGTGGATTTCACGAAATGTATGATTAAAATTAATTGTTGGCTTTGAACCCCAAGGGATAGCTCAGTGGTCAGGCCTTGTGTTTGTTTCCCAATGATCATCAGTTCGAATCCCCTTAGAGTCACTAAAGTGAGTACCCAACTGTAAACTTCAAGGCCCATGAAATTAATCGAGGTACACGTAAGTTGGCTCGGATACCTACAGTCATACGAAAAAAAATAATAATAATAATAACATTTGTTGGCTTTGATTAAAATTACCTAATTTCGTTATTTTGCAAATTATTACTACCGGTAGTAATTAGCAAAAAAATCGTAATGTAAGATGCCTGCATCTACCTACTAATGCCTACTTAAAAATCTAAACATCTTTCCAATATAGAATCAATGGAGAGGGATGGCCTAAAATAATTCATTATAAAGAAATCATCTAGTTGACTGAAATATACCCAGAAAAGTAATTTTTTTCTCAAGTTCTTGCATCCTAGTAGATAATAAATGATTTCTTTTTCCTAGTATTTTGGGCATCCTAGATGGCTATCCTATAGAATATAGCCTTCCATAAGTAGACTCTCACAAATATAAAAGTGAAAATTTTAGATTATTTAAGAGTGTAATCATTCTTGGATTTTAGGACATGATCGAAAAAGAAGACATAACGCATATGAAGCTTTCTCAATTGGCTATTCTTCTGCTAAAATTCTGCTTCACATTGTAAAATATCCAAGTAATTTATACGATTGTACTTTCTTTGATTTTCATTCAAATATATTTTATTGCATCATAGGAATTCGAAAAGAAGGGTTCTTTCGTGTGCTTATAGTTATTATTGTCACTTCTTTTATTCACCGTCACATATTTTTTTTTCCGTGTTTACTGAGTTTGAGGTTCATACTATTATCTGATGATGCAGATTAGCGTACTCCAGCCATGAGGGATTTGGAAATCGAGTCGAAGGAGACTGAGAAAGTGGAAATGGAGGAAATTAAGCAGGAAGAAGTCGAGGAGGATCTGAAAAGACTTCAGCCATGGACAAAGCAGATTACATTGCGTGCTGTGATTGCTAGTATTTTAATTGGATCGACGTTTAGTGTAATAGCAATGAAGCTGAATCTTACAACGGGAATTACTCCGAACCTCAATGTTTCTGCTGCGCTTCTTGCATTCGTATTTATTCGAACATGGAAAAGGTTGCTTCAAAAGACAGGAATTGTCTCAATTCCTTTCACAAAACAGGAGAATACTATGATACAAACTTGTGCTGTTGCATGTTACAGCATTGCAGTTGGAGGTTTGAGGCACTTTATTTCCCAAATTTTAAGGAGAATCTTTGCTTTACTTTCATACTAGATTAATTCTTTGATGTTCATTATAATTTCAGGAGGATTTGGATCTTATCTACTGGGACTGAACAAGAAAACATTTGAACAGTCTGGTGGCTTTAGTACTGTAGGAAATTCTCCAAGCAGTATCAAGGAACCTGGGATTGGTTGGATGACTGGCTTCCTCTTCTTAGTTTGTTTTATCGGCCTTTTCGTGTTGATTCCTCTTCGAAAGGTACACCACAAGCTCTCAGTGTAACAGTCCAGTCTTCATACTTAGCAGTAGATTATAACTTCGATTTTAACTTCTTTTTATGTTTTTATACTGTCTAGTACTATCCAATTCTCGCTACCCTTGCCACGTGATCTATTTTGGTCTGATGAGGATTTTCTTTATGTAGCTTAGTTTGTGTTCTAATGTGCCATTTCTAGCAGAAACTCGACTTTCTGAATTAAGTCGTAGAATATGGAGTATTATATTTTTCCAGCGAGCTGTGTTTTAATTTCTTGAACTTGGATCACATTCCATGAATTCTCAGTCAGATTGAAGCAATATTTTTTGCATCCACTGTTTCAGTATAACTTTCCACGTGATTATTTTCATACTTAGAAGTTGTAATTGGATCCCAGATCTTGATAATCGACTACAAGTTGACCTTTCCAAGTGGGATGGCCACCGCAGTTCTTATCAATGGATTTCATTCCAGAGGTGACGAAATGGCCAAGTAACTATCTTTTTTACATCTCAATTTTCACTTTTTTATTGCATTTTTATCACATATTTCTGCGTGTCGATCAGACGTAAAATGATTTTTTGCGTCGTTTTGTAGAAAGCAAGTACGAGGTTTCTTGAGGTGTTTCTCGTTCAGTTTTTTCTGGGGATTTTTCCAGTGGTTTTACGAAGGAAAAGATGATTGTGGGTTTTCACAGTTTCCGACATTTGGACTTCGAGCTTGGAAGCAAACGTATGTCTATATAATCTGCAAAATTTATACTAGGTTTTACAATTTACAGATTGAATTTTCTGGGTTCTTACAGCCTATAGATCATCTCTGCAGGTTTTATTTTGATTTTAGCATGACTTACATTGGGACTGGAATGATTTGTTCCCACATAGTAAATTTATCTTTGCTTCTTGGAGCTGTGCTTTCATATGGCATAATGTGGCCACTCATTAGAAATCTTAAAGGAGAATGGTTTCCAGCAGATCTGCAAGAAAGCACCATGAAGAGTCTCAATGGTTACAAGGTTTTTTTTTTTTTTCCTCCCTTATATCTTCTAATTGACCTCAATCTGTTCTGAGTTTTATGAATTTATGTTGTCAACTTATGTTTTGTAATTGACCTCGAACTATCCTAAACATATATATGGATTTTTCTACCGTTGTACTCTTGGCAGGTATTCATCTCCATTGCTCTCCTTCTAGGAGATGGGCTCTACAATTTCGTCAAAATCTTGAGTGTCACCCTCATCAATTTTCACAGACGGTTGAGAAGTAGAAATCCCAACTCAGGTATCAAACATGAGTTTGTATCAATGTTTGTTGGATTGTGCGGAACCTAATAATACAATACGCTCAACTCCATGGAAACGAAACTCTGTAGCACCGAGGGCATAGCTCTCACATTGTTGCTTTTCTTATACTTTCACACTTTCATTCTGTTTATAATTGCTTTCTCACTACAGCCACTGCTGAAGTTAGTGAGGACAAGGTTCTCAACGATCTCAAACAAGACGAAGTTTTCATTCGAGAAAGCATTCCCATGTGGGTAGGAGCTGCTGGTTACATAATCTTAGCACTGATATCAATGATTGCAATTCCATTCATATTTCCAGAACTAAAATGGTACTATGTTCTTGTTGCCTACATTTTTGCTCCCTCTTTAGCCTTCTGCAATGCATATGGAGCTGGTTTAACAGACATAAACATGTCCTACAATTATGGGAAAGTGGGCCTTTTTGTTATCTCAGCAGTGGCTGGAAAAGACCATGGTTTAGTAGCAGGAATGGCAGGTTGTGGTCTAGTCAAGTCCATTATTTCTGTTTCTTGCATTTTAATGCAAGATTTCAAAACAGGACATTTGACTTTAACATCACCTAGAGCAATGCTATTAAGCCAGACCTTTGGGACATTTTTGGGGTGTATAGTTTCACCCTTAAGTTTCTTCTTATTCTACAAGGCATTTGATATTGGGAATCCTGATGGAGAATTCAAGGCCCCGTATGCTATAATCTACAGAAACTTGGCAATTCTAGGAGTACAAGGATTTTCAGCTTTGCCGAAACATTGTTTGCAACTCTGTTATGGGTTTTTCGCATTTGCAGTCGCGATTAATGTGGTTAAAGATTTTGCCCCAAAGAGGATTGGGAAATGGATGCCACTACCTACCGCAATGGCTGTGCCTTTTCTAATTGGAGCATATTTTGCTATTGATATGTGTGTAGGGACTTTGATTGTGTTTTTGTGGCATAGAATTGACTCTAAGAAGGCAGAATTAATGGTTCCTGCCGTGGCTTCTGGTCTAATCTGTGGGGATGGTCTCTGGATACTGCCTTCAGCAATTTACCCCACCAGTCGATAAAGAAGCTAACACCAAAATTTAAAGACCAAAAAATAAAGGACGTGTATTTCTTCGAAAAAGTAAAAAAGTAAGAAAGGTAATTGATCTTTTTGCCCTTTATTATAGTCGGAGGGAATACTTCCGTAGATAGGTCATGGATTACAATTGTAGCTTTCATACTTCATATTTTGCAAGCATGTAGCAGAGAGTTGAAAAATTACAATTCTATATAACACACAATTGGTCTATTATACACGATTTCTTCCTTTTATCATCACCAAGTAGGGAAAAGATGACGGGTTCCTTTAGGGCACCTTTAATACACAGAATTAAAACTAGACAGTAAGAAATTTTTTTAGCTTCTCGTTGTTTCTTAATATTGTGCAATATTGCCCAATCTACCTTACCGATCATGCAGTCAAGGAAAACGAAGGGGTTTAGCATCACTAAAGCGCTGATTCTTGCCAATTATACAACATTCACATATTTACATTCCATTTTTTACCATTGGTAAATAGGATGATCAGCAGAACAGTCCCCGAGTAAAGTTAGCATGACAGTACTTAAATACTCTACCGCAGTTTATGAAATAACAGGAGTATGCTAACAAGTTCACCATATGTCAAAGCCACAGGCATTTTACCATTAAACTCGATGTTTATGAATAATTCCTTTAATCGAGATTTTGAGTGCTCATTTTTCAATAAAATTTGAGAGAAAATAGCCATGAAGGAAGAAATCTCTATTAATCTCATTCTTACCAACAATCAAATAATATACAAGTCTTACATGAACAATAATCTTTCAGAGTTCATAAAAACTAGAAGGCCACTGCCAAGAAAATGTCCAATGACAATTTACAGGTACAAAATTATCCAGTTATTATACCAGCCAAAACATCAGTCTTACCACGAGCAAAAATTGTGTAAACTAACCGAATCGCATCAAACCATCCATCCAAAGATTCCCATGACTCGGCAATCTGAGATAGAATGAGAAAAAAATAATAATAGAACAGCAAAATGAGAAACAAAATATTTGGAACGTTGGTACTTATCCCTCTAAAATCCAATTATGCATTTGACATTTATACAACAGAATTCTGAAATATTTTTTAGCCACACCCTAGCAGCCAGGGGAAAAGAAACTTCAAAGGTTATTGGGTTTTTGATGTTTTGGAAGTTTCCCTGCCCTTCCAAAGCTGCGATTTTTGATCTAGTCCTTGTCCACAGCAGAGAAGCCTCAAAGTGTGATGGAGTAACTTTAAATAAAATGGAAAACATAGGTAGGAAAAGCAAAAAGATTAATTACCAAGAATACAGGTCCTTGAATAGTGTCGATGCAGAGGCCTGCACCAGGTGGTAAAGTAAGATCAGCACAAGCTGATACGGAGACAATATCTGGAATATCAACTTTAATTGCTGACTTGTTCATCTGCGTATCTAGTGATTTTGAAGAAAGGTTCTGCGAAAGCTGTCTTTGCTCGACTTCGTTCATCTGTGGGAGAAGGATTAGCATTGATTTTAGGAAGCATACTTTCATATCAATGGATTGTAAACATCCTGATTCACATAATCAGTAAATTTACAGAAACTATATAGCTCTTCATGGTGATTCAAGTGATCAGTAAATTGCATAATGAACTTCCTCAAATTTAAATAAGCTCAATACAATGAAATTTCTTTAGATTTGAATAAAAGGGAAATTCATTTCCTAGCACCCAACTTGATGAATATAAAATTTGAAGATAGAGAGGGTGAGGAAATTATCAGAGAAAATCGCTTGAGAATTAAGTTTGAATTCTAAAGACTTGGTATGGTCATTGGTCAATGCATTATGCACTGTTAAATTCAGCAGATTTGGTGATGGGCAATAGAAATAGTATATCATAGTAGTGAGATATTAGTGGGTCAATTTAATATGCTAGTGGAATGGAGAGTTTATCTTTCAACTCAAAGAATGAACTAGGCACTTGCACAATGAAAGTTTGTGAACAAAGCTAAACTGTGCATATATCTCATTACAACGGAAGGTGGGAACTTCTACCTGTCGAAGACATTCGTGATTTAGCACAAACTGAGAATGTTTCCAATCACCATGAGGTGCAACTGGATTTCCCGCAGGTGGTGCAGTCAGATATCCAACCTTTAGATAGGGCAGAGGCAGCTGAAAATATGCAAGTCTCGTCAGCATAATTGCTTGAAAAATAATTCTGAATCATTTTTTTTTCCTTCTTCAAAAAGAAACTAAATGGAAAGAGAATTATTTGCAGAGCCCCAGGATCCAACCCCTGCAATTGCATTTCTGATTTATTAACAGATTGCAAAATGAAGATTGATACATATACCAGTGGAAAGGGTGGAAACGAAGACAATCTGCTAAAAATATTCAGTGTCAGACCAAGATAATGAGATCTAAGTGCAAAGAGTAGAAATTTAGTTATCTCAAATAAAAGACTTTCCTATTGAGTATTTTGGTGAATCACGCCGCAAAGAAACTAAGATGTAAGTCTGACTGCTATTGTTTCTTTCTGGCACTCATTTCTAAATGCTTCTCCACATTACTAATGACCACCAAATATAACCGAATAAATACTGACAAGCTCTGAGAAAAAGCTCCAAGTTTCAGACCTTCTATTTGGCATAAACCATGGAATTTGGCATACATACTATGAATACCTTGAGAAGACAAAACTTAAATGCAAAACAAGACTCACCATAGATCGCACAAGCTTCAATGCACTAGTGTAAACCTGTAGTACAACAGAGAAATCTATTTAAATATGTATATTGGTAATAACTCATTTCTTCAAACTTAACAAATTAAAGTGAGGAAAAAAAAAGGTTTGACACTGGCTTTCTTTTGACTCTACATTTCCTCCAATCTTTCAAAAAAGAGAAAATAAGAGTAAAGTAGAGAGAGAGCACTAGTCATGTGACAAACTTCGCTGAGGCAGAGAAATTGATCATTTCCTTATCATAAGGAATATTATCAAATAGTGCATAGGCTTTTCCATAATCTAAAAGAACAGAACCAACAATAAAGTAATAAGGTAAAATGAAAAGAATGTAATAAAAAATTATGACGGTTCAGGTAATTGGATCTGCATACTGAGTAATTTGGTTTCAGCGCATGTGCAGCTGCAATGTAGATAGCAGATTGGCTGTATAACTCATCGGGTGAGACCTCCTTTGCATTCATGGATCCTCCAGTTCTTGCCATGTCCTCTGCTAATCCATACTGCAAGGCACACAAGATAAGACAGATCTGTATTAAATCCTTGATTTGTTCATCCCACCTTTTCCATTTGGTGGTCTTGTGTGGGCTAGTGTAGGCAGAGATATCCTTCTTTTTATCACTTCCCAAAAAGTCGACAAACTTTTTTCAATGAAGAAAAA